ATGAATTTTTGAAGAAAGGTCTATTTTAGAGGTTTTTCCGGATTGTCTCTGCAAAAAATGAACGGATCGGGTCGCACAAAAAAACATTTTATAGGTAAGTCCAGAGTAAGACGATTCCATCATTATTTTTCGAGATATTATTAAAAAAAAACAAAAAAATTCAATTTTTTTGCAGTATCTATTGTTTAAAAAAACAATTATTCACGATTTTGCTAGGGAAATCACTTGGGTTTTCATTTACTAAGGTAATACATGAAATTTGCTGTAATATTTAAGTGTGCCAATAAATCTCTATTGGTTGGTCTAGAAATTTCTTGTCCATTTTAAAATTTTAACTAAATGAGTGGGTTAGGTTTAGGTACAATAAATTGCTAGTAGGCTCGGATTTTGTATTTATCTGTGCACAACCGTGAAATCTTTGCAAAATTGGGAACTCTTTTTTAGCATGATCAATTTATCATGTTGAAATAGAGTTTGTTCTAAAAAATATTAAATACTTTAAATCCTTCCAACTCTAATACAATTAAAGCAGAATTGAAATTATGAAGACTGGAAAATATTTTACTAATTACAAAATTAATTATAAAAGATGTTCAAAAAGTTACAGTGGTTTTGTTCCACGGCTTCTGGATTATTTCCAAATTGTCTACATTGTACATTCACAACTCTTCTGTATGGTTGATCCTCAGTCTTCATTGGGGAAGAATACACTTTTAATTTCAAAGGGCTCCGCAAAAAATAGTCTGAGGGTGTTAAGTTTGGCGATCGAAGTGGCCAGTTCCTTGACATCATCTTGTCCTCTTCTGATCCACCTCCTTGGATATTGTATACATCAATGTTGTCGAATTACTCCAACCCGAATATTAATTTTGTCAAGAGGTTACTTTAACACGAGGATTTTAATCAGTGAATATGTATTCATTCTGAAGATTAGTATTGTAAAAGTAATCTCATCAGCAAATAATTTTTTTTTTATAAAATTTATATTGTGGATTTATTAATTTCGTTTAAACCAGTAGAAAGTTATGCCCATTTCTGGATATGTGGGTAGATAATCTTATATTGTACTGTTTCTTTAAAATTCTTTGAGCAATACCTTCATTTCATCATAAATCAGCTAGATCACGTCAGCTTTGTAATGACACGGGTGCTGCGATTTAACAGACGATGTTTTTATGAACTGCTAGATCACTTTTTAGATTCTAGTAATCATTTTTGAATTTTCCTCAGTCCTATCCAAAATTTATTCTTCTATTTCTGTAGTTCTTGTTGTACGGTGACGTCCTGGATCTTCACTTCTCCGTTGAAAACTATTACTTTCTTGAAGGTGTCTTTCAATTTTGCAAAGGTTTGATTGTTGGACACTCAGCGATTAGGATATCTTTCTGAGTAGACTGACACTTACTCGACCATTGCCTTGAAAAAACCCGTAAACATCTCTAATTGTTGTCGTATGAGTATCTATCTATGTTGAAGAATTAGGTGAAATGTGATAATTCTTATAGTATTAAATACTCATTAAGAATTGACAGGTAATTACAATGATTTTTAAAATTGAAATTGGAAACAAAATAAGTATATACTAGCAACTTAGTATTGTAATATGGGTAGAAAGATATATAGGAATTTAATTTTTTTTTATACCAAACTGCACATTTAATGAAAATTTTATAAAAGACAGAAACTTCCATATACAACAGAAAAACGTGATAGGTGGATATTTTCTCCATACATACATTTTTTAATAGTTAATTGTAAATTTTAACAACCAGTTTTTAAAACACTAAAACGCGTGTTAGAGTTATTTTAAAAATTCAATTCATTCAATTCGTTCCTTTCTACACGTATTTGTATCCTGAATATATTATATAAGTTTTATTTTTATTGTATTTCGTTTCTTTTCAATTAACGTATTTCTTTTATTTCTTCTAAATTCCTGACATTATGGAGATTTATTTATTACTCCTAGAAAAACAAAGAAAGTTGACGTCAAATAAAAGAAAAAACTGCAGCCTAAAGAGAGCTGGCATTTAATAAAATAATTGTCCCTATTGATTTACCTTTCGGTAAAATATTGTCTTGAAATTTGCAGTTCACTTAAATATAAAACTCAAAAATTTGCAGATATTTTATTTGAATAGTAATTTTTCTAAACCTATTGTCAGAAAGGAATTATAATTTTGGAATTTTCACTAACACATAACTAAATATTGATCATATAGATAGATTTTTTAAATATACTATTTGTAAAATGACTCGGAGCTTAGTGTGGTCTTATTTATTGAAAGTACTTAATTTTTTTATTTTTCAAGTCGACAATTAGCACAACACTCAACAATTTCAACTATTTTTTATGAAATACAAATATTTCGTGTGTGTGTGTGTGTTGATTCAAATATTTCGTAACACCTTGCAATATATTGATTCATTACTGTCTAAAAATGGTTTACCTTGATCTTGCCCGTGTTACTTTCTTTCACCATTTCGACATGCATTAAAAAAGCCGGTGATTCACCATCTATAAAAATTAGTTATTCGAATTATTAATTGTTTGACCGTTGACTAACAGCAAAAGGTGACCTAGAGAAGAACGACTCAAGGTCGAGCCGATCAACTTAGTGAATAACAATCGTACCGTGAGGAATTCCCCAGTAGTTTTCACAGTTTTATGCGGAAATGCTGTTTGTCTGAGCAGTGTCCAGTATTTTCCACGCGGAAATATCGCCAAGCATGTGTTTTATCATATAAGAGGGTCACGTGAATTTGAAGTTTTGCACAAATTCGCGCTAAATGAAATAAAGACAATATGTATAAAATTTCTACTTAAGCGATTTCTTCTAACATTTTCATTAATATATGTTGTACTTTTAACAAAAAAATAAAAACATTTCCTGTGAAACTAGTTGTTATCTAATGTAATGTGTTGAAAACGGCAATAACTTAAAAATAGTATGTTTTCCAAATAAAATTAGATATTTTTTTTTGGAGACACCATAAATTAAGTGATCAAATTTCTTTAGAAATTTAATGCATTACCCAGTGGCGTCGAATTTCTGAAGCTCTTACCAAGTGATTCCCCTTATCTGCGTCACAGCGTGATGTATTTATATACGAATTCAGTGATTCTTTACCTTCCAATTAAATTAGATAAGTTCTAAACCCAAGTGTCGTCATCCTACGTCAAGTAGGGTCAGATATAACGAGCGTTCAAATAAAAACGTGGTCGAAGTTGGCTCTGACACATTGGACGTAGGGAGTAGCTTATAGCGACCAACTTAACCTCATTTCTCAACGAGCTGTATAGCAGCTGTCAGTTTCAATAACGTTAATGACTATATAACTTTATTTTAAAGAATAATCGTGATAACAATAACAAACAATTAAAGGAGCTGCGGAAAGTGTCCCCCTCCTTGTTATAACAATAAATTAAAGCAGCTGCTGAAAGTGTCCCCCTCCTTGTTCCAAGCACTTTTCACACCTGTTCCTCAAAGAATTAAAGACATTTTCTAAGATGCTCGGGGTATTGTTAATTTCACGAATCTTGTCTATAAGTCGAGCCTGCAGATGGTTTAAATCAGGAATAGGCAGTTCAAAAATAGTGTTTTTAAGGTAAGGCCACAAAAAGAAATCACACGGCGTAATATCACATGACCTCGGTGGAAATTCATGTTCAGCATTGAGACTTATTAGTCGATTTTGGAAAACTTCCCTCAACATATTCATCGTCTCGCCTGCCGTATGTGCCCTTGCGCCATCTTGTTGAAAGTAAAAGTTTGTAATTTCGTTTTCTTCCAGCTGGTTAACAAAAGGAGCGATAATTTCTTCTCTATACCTTTGCGCAGTAAGAGTACCATTAAAAAAAATAGGTCCATAAATCCTCCTTCGATTGAGAGCACACCAAACTCCAATTTTTTGAGCGTGTAGAGGGCCCTCGACAAAAAAGTTATCTGGTTTTTCAGAAGACCACATTCTCATATTCTGTGAGTTTACGTAACCACTTAAATGAAACCAGGCTTCATCAGAAAAAAAGGTGATATTATGAAGTTCACCGTAGTTGTTTAAAAACCATTCACAAAATACAGCCCGTCGCGGAAAATCAACTTCATGAAGTTCTTGCTGACAAGTTAAACGATAGGAGAACAAACGCAAATCTTTTTTTAACACTGTGTGGCAGGTACCGACTGATACTCCCACCATTTGTGATAAAACACGTACAGAAGTTCTTGGCGCATTTTCCATTATTTGTTGGACATTTTCTTTTAATTCTTCAGTCCGCTTTTTAGGTCGGCCGCTTCCTTCTTTTCTTGTTACACTGCCCGTTTCACGAAAAACATTAACACAACGCTGAACTGCACTTTGAAAAATTTTGTACTCAACAACGCCGGGAAATTGATTTTGAAATTCTATGAAACATTCCTCAATAGAATACTTCCATATTCCATCAATCTTGCGTCCATTTCTAAAGTAGGACTCTATGATAAACACTTTTTGTTCTTGAGGAAACACCATTTTAAACGCTTTTTAAAACGAAAATATTCAAATTGATAGCGGCGATATAGCGCTTTGACAGATGACCTTTAAGTTCATTTGCTATACGCTACGCCCTACGTCCAAATTTTCAGAACCAACTTGACCACGTTTTTATTTGAACGCTCGTTATTTTAGAAAATACTATTTTTTTAATTTTGGGCGGCCTAGTTGAAACGATATAAAATTTTTGTAGATATAAGTACAGGTCTTAAATTGGACCCTTGAGGTACATCAGAATGTGACACATACCAGAAAGGATTAAGTGGATTGAATGGTATAATTAAATATTTGTATTTTTTGTGTCGCTTTCTTTCGGAAACCAAACAACCAGTTAAAATTTCCCTTTCTTTTATAAAAATAAGCAAACCAAGCTCTGGACCGTTTCCGAAACAGCTCCCACTTAGATCTAAAAACAAACTGCCTCACCGACCAAAAGTAAACAACGAATTAATGCCCGCCGTTATTTCCAGGTCCACATAAAATCCGGCTTTATTATGAACGGCGTCTGCGTCAGATGGAGAGGCTGGATCGACATGGAGCGCCTCGACGGCGTCGGTTGTTTGGAATATAACGAGGAGCGGGCGGCGCAGGAGGACGCCCTCCTCAGGGAGCAGATCGAGAGGTACAACCAGCGGCTGCGAGAGTTCGAGGACAAGCAGCGGGTGTACAGGCAGGACAGACCCGATCAGGACTTAGAGGTACGTCACGCGGGTTTGCCCATGCAGCAGAGGCACCACCAATACATGAAACTGTTCTGACGGAAGTAGGTGCTTGCGTTGTTCGAAGGGTCGTGGAATTGTTTTTCACGAATTTCGATGTGATATTCTTCACACTTGTTTTTTGGTGGGCCCAGATGAAGGTCCTTAGTCATTTCGTCCGGATTTATTTTTTGTGACTTAATGCTAATAGCCTCGCATGTTTCATTGATACATTTAGATTACACATTTACATAAAACTCGAAATTAGTAGCCAAATTACTAACAGTCGATAGTAGAGTGAAGTTGCTGAATGTGGAGTAAAATTTGTTTTTAATGAAAAAAATTGAAAAAAATATTTTTAGCAACCAAATTCCTTAATTTAATAAGTTAAAGTATAAGTATAATAGCGTAAATGATTGGTTATTTGACAATACATAACTTTAAATAAAATATCAAACTAAAGAAAAGGTAACAACAAAATATAAAAAATAGACTGGTAGGTAACGTATAAACGTATAACATACTTAGGCATTTTAAGTAATGAAATTGCAGAGTAACTGAAATTCAGATATTTTACATAAAGATAAAAAAGAATGAGCTTTATGTTAGGAATATTTAATAATCAACAGAAATCACAGATATAAGGATCATTTTCCACAACTGAAAATTCTTCGTGTTGTGCCTAATAATTGTACGTTATTCAAATTTTCCACATTATTTTTTGAAATTTTTTCAACGTTAAACATATTTCGATCAGGATTCTTTTTCTATAAAATTTCAGAGATTTGAATTAATTGTAAAGAAGATGAAAATATTATTATGACTAAACATTTAGTTTAAATTAGGTGCATACTTGTCATATTGCCATGTAAATTAAATAATTTTGTTGTTCAAATTGCTATCATTTAATCGATATTGCTCACAGTTTCCTTCAAATCAGGGTATTCTATGATCCCTATTCCACAATCGGCTACTTTACTAATGCAGTGGCGTACATAGAATTTTGTCATGGAGGACGACTATTTAAAGTGAGACAATAAGAATATTTTATAGACTGTTAAAGATACACTATGTTTCAAATTACAACGAAATTGCACAGTAATTTGTCGAAACTTTTCCTGAAATTAAATCTGACATATTTTTTATCTTGCACTACACTTGAGAGATTTTTTCTATTTGTCTGTGTTTTGAGATGCGATAGACAACTTTCTTTTCTTAGGGACACATCAAGGGTTATTTTTATGATTAAATAATGAAAAAAGTTATGAACCCAGTGGTATGTTATCGGCCTATTATAAATTAAGATCAAAATAACAATCTGATAGTCTCTGAACATGACATTTCATGACATATTGTTGGACAATTAATTTATTTCTTTGTTTAATCACATGAGAGAACAATATGGCATCCACAAGAAAAAAATGGTTATCATATCTAGAAAACAATGAATTATATAGAAAATCTCACAGTAGTAATCAATAGGACAAACAAATTACAGCCCAAAATCCGTTTCCTCATTTATTTATTATATCTCCACAGAATTACTTGAATGTTCTAGATATAATTTAAGAAATAGTTTCAGCAAAATATTGCGCAATTTATTTGAGCACCCTGTAACTCTAAGAGTTTACTATGTCTGAGTAATCTCCCATTAAACAGTGTTCTAAGCCGGAAAACAGATAGAAATTACTATTATAGCTTACGTCACTGGTAGGATTTTTGGCCAAGGAATATTTAAAAAATAACAATTTTCTGTCTGTTCTATGTTTCTTCTTTTTATTGAACACCTTTAGAACTCTTAAGTTACAAATATTAAAAAAATAATATTTAACATTTATAAACTACTTGCATCTGGAGTAAAGAACTCTAGAACTCTAGTTAGTCCTGAAGATGTTCAACAAAGAAACGAAACATTTCTTAAATTTTAATTCGTTCAGAAAATCCACTATATACCTACTACTTACTCACTGATTTAGTTAATTTTTCTTTGTTTTTTTCGGAACTCGTGAAAAATGTCTCGAATAAAAAAATTGTAGATGTGTTGTCAAACCTTTGACGATTTTGACACAGGTATATTATAATCACGATATAAAAAATACTCAGTTCTTTACTGAAACTTATTTTAAACGTTACCAAATAAATCTACCTTTTGATAAAGGTATATACAGAGGTTTAAATATAGCAGTTAATAATTCTAAAAGCACTTTTAAGTCCAAAAAGAAACTTCTGAATTTATTTCATAACTGAAATGTTATGTGGGATAGCAATTACCCCACAATTATTTTTAAGACTTCAAATATTCTTTTAATTTGACAAAAAACTGTATAAAAAGATTATTTATAATAATTATGTATGTAAATTCCGTAATCTATGACAAATCTCAAACAAGTAAAATGTAAGGTATTTTGATGCATAGGTTATTTTGTTTTATATTATATGATGAGTTTTGTAAATATTTTTGTTTTTTTTTTTGTAATTTGGTTTTTATGATTATGTAAATACTTGAAACTTGTTAAATGTTATATAACGAATTTGCAATATGGTTGTAAATAGGCGTAATAGGTACAATAAACGATTTTATGTGACAGTTTTTGTTTTATTTTGAGTTGTTTTATTTTTTATATATATATAGCTTGTACATAGTGGTTCAGGAAAATTAAGATTTGAATTCAAAAAGACAAAATAAGAAAAAAGTTACGTGATGCCTGGAAAAGTTTCGTTCATTTTCTTAAATACCTGTGAAGCTAACTGAAATACAGGGTGTTAGAAGATTGACTGCCCTAATTTTAACAGACGATAGAATATATTAAAATAAACAAAAAAACCTTATATGACATGGTTCCTAAACTCAACCATTTCCGAGAAAAAAATTATCAAAATCTCCAAAATGATGTACAAAAGTTCGAATAATTAAGAAATATTGACATAACTGCCATAAAATACAATGTTTATCACATTTTTGAACTTTGTTTTTTGGTAAGTACCTGAATTATTTTTAATACGTATGATTATTTGAACGACGTGAATCTTTGGGTACTTTAATTACATATTTTTCAAATACGTAATTTGATTAAAAATTAAGTTCCGGTTTTAAGAGATTCATAAATTACTAAAATTCGAGCTAAAATTTAAGCACAACACTATCTTCGTACTACAAAATCGATAAATTTTATTTTATTTATTTAAGAAGTGGAAAACAATTGTTTTGAAACTTACTAAATGTTTCACAATAATAGTGTTGTTTACATTTTTTCCGTAGTCGCGTGTACACGTGGTGTGCATCAGCAGGTCAAGCGCTGTTGTCAGGTTGTGATGAAACTTCCCAATATTAATACTCGCTGTATTTTGAAAACTGTTAATCTTACGCTTCTGTAATATACAACTTTTTTGTTCATTTATGATTACTCTCATACCGAAGTAATGGCGGTCAAATTTCTTACTCCCTGTATAATAATGAAATTTGAGTTAATGATGAGCATAATACTAATGGTAAAAATTCGTTGATTTTTAATATAAATACGTAAAATCAGTGGCGGTGATGCGGGGGATAATTGTCATTAGGAACACCACTAGCTATTTTGGAAATCATAACATTACTTTCACTTTTATTATCTGTTTTTTAAGATAAGGATAGAAGATCTCTTTTACTTTGTTGAGAAAACAGACTGCTCAATATATTTCTTTTTAAAACTTGCCTTACCGTCATCATGAACTTCAACACATTATTTAAAATTGCACATATTTTTTTTACAAATAATTTATTTTAATCAAAGTGTCTAGAAAACTCTTGGCGTAGAATTGTTGCACTTAGAATATTATTTAAAATATAATTTATATGTGATATAATATGATTTTTTTTTCAAAAATTAATACACTTTATTGCAGTCATTAATTCATAGGACTTCTCTAAGTAGATATTTTAGACAATAAAAATGCATGTCTTAAAAGATAAGTCATTGTTGTATGGATACAGTCTACAACTATATTTCATTATCGTCGGAAACAGTACCTAGAGATACCTATAAGTAGGATCGTATTCGATGCAAAGTAGAGCAAAAAATTGTCGGCCTTTTATCAAAGGAAAATCGTGTCATAATTTTTAGGAGGCGTAAGATGAACCATTTCAAATTTAAAATGAAATTGAATGTAAAATCTGAAATACCGCTGCATACTGTGTTCTGATACTAGCTGTAGTCGGCCAGGTGCATCGAGTGTACGAAGTGGTCGGTTATACGTCAAATACTAACCTGGCGAGCTTGATCGTAAAGCAGGGAACAATAAACAGTGGCGCGTACAGAGGTGAAATGTAGTACATATGTGGAATTTAAATAACGAATTGGATTTATAATAAATTACATTTAAAACAAATAGTGTATGAGAATAAAGGGATTTTTGTAGGAACAGGGTTCCAGACGTGAACTGATCCCTTCATCGCACCCCATTACGATTCTTTTTTTTACAAGGAGAACGAAGTTTCAAAGCAAAAACCTTGTATAACAGATATAATATAAATATTTACAGAATGAAAACAAAATATAAATCCTATGATATGATTCTATCAAATGAAAACACTAACAATAATTCTCTATCAATCTCAACAAAATAAGTTATTTTTCTATCAAACAAGAAATACTAACAAATTATAAACAAAATATAAATTCTATGATTTATATACTGTACGCCGAACTGCATTTTTCTCATCTTCATTTAATATTAATTTCTTCTATCCACTCCATTTTTTAGGTTTCTTAACGTCTCCTTCATTAATCCATAATGCATAAAGAAATTATTCAATTTCCAAAACCCCCTAAAACGTGTTGCACTGATTCCCTTGACAGGCAATGATTTATTACTTTGCATCGAATATGATCCTACTATACCTAGATTATAGTTCATGAACAGACATAGTTAAAATTTGCATAAGAAAATGCTTAGATACAGTGTAAAACGTAATATTCCCAAGACAAACGCAGGATTTCATGAGGAAAAAATATTTTATTAATTAAAAAGTTGACAATGTTCTGAAAGGGTAGACATTGCCATTAAATATAGAAGAGGATATCGGAAATCTAAAAGGCCACAAACAGATCAATAGTCCACTTGTTGATTTTCAAATATCAATGAATATCCGGTACATTAAATGGTCGTAGCTGAATCTTAAATGGATGCAGATGCAGTTTTTTTTTAAATCTGCTGCATTGTGCTTTCTGAAGTGTTTCATAGCAGTGACCGATGGCGCACTGAGATTACGGAAATTTCCGCCCCACTATCACTCACCATAGCAATAATTTCGGCTGAACGTCTAGTACGAGACCGGCCTGTTTTTTTATTGTCTGCGATCGAACCTATTTGTTCATATTTGGCAACTAATCTTTTCACAGTTGTTTCATTCGGGTCTTTCCTTCTATCGAAAATTCCATGTAATTTGTGCACAGTCTCAGCTACACACTCTCCGTACTTGTAAAGAATATTCATAATCTTCACTCGCTCATCCGTAGTATAACGCTCCATTATGTCTAACCGCACCTGTTTACTGCAACATGTGGCTTGGACAATGCTGCCAACTGTTCAGAATGAAAATGGCGCACAATTCAAATTCTGTGTTACTTTTGGGACACCATATATAATCAGCATCTCAGTACGCTTCAAATGTTGTGCTGTTCGGTTAATTTCCATATCTATATGTTTTGGAATTTTTACAATTACGTACTGAGCATTATTCAATATTAATTTATTTTAAAGATAATATATTAGTTTTTATTTGTGATTTGTATTGAACACATTTATAGATAACCTTGAAAAAAACCTAAAAAATTATATAGTAAGTCAATATGCTTTATGTAATACTTCTCTGTGTCCTGTGACGACGTAAATTACTGTAAATCGATTAGCAAAATGGCACATAAATCTCTCAAAACATAATAGAAGGCTGGGAATACCAAATACATAAAGTTGCGGAAAAATTGCAAACATTCCACTTACACAACCGGAAAATGGTGAATAAATATTTATATTTGCACAATTTGTTAGCGAAACGTTTATAACGAAGCTTTTTGAATGAGATTTATGACATTTGGTTAAACATAGTTCAAGTAGTAAATTTCTAAGTTAAGAGGTGTAGAAAGTAAATTTAATGGTTTTGTATGGCAAAATCTTGGCTGAAAATCAATTGCCTGAATTACCAATTCTGCGTTTTCCTTGGGATATGAATGGAATGGATCAAAATGAAATAATGGAAATATTACAATTAATAACACTAGAAAGAAATCTTTTACTTGTACCTATGTATAAGTGAAAACCTGAAGTTTGTTCGAATTTATATGTTCATTCCGTCCTCCATTATTGTTTATATCCATGAACGTATTCCAGGTTTAACTTCGTCAAAACCAAGACAAGATAATAGCAGTAAAAATGTCCAAGTTGAATTTATGACGTGAAACAATCAAATGTATACATTTTTAGTACTTCCAAAGTATTTTTATGGACTACTGACGCCGGTGCACAAACACAATAATCCGTAAGCCGCGTGAGCGTCAGACCGATGAATTTCACATTTAAACACACCAGTTTGTGCCCTTCGGCGTAAAATTGGAGCGTACGGAAGCTGTTTATTCATCTTGTCGTCTCCCACGCAGATTTTGATATCCCTCAGGGTGCATTACAGATAGATCCCAGTCGACAGTATGCTATTATGCGTCTTTAATCGGATTTACTAATGCATTATGCACCTGTGGGGACGATTCGAGACTTTATACGGGTCACATGATTTATATTCTTATGCTAGGGATAATTTCCTTATACGCCGTGCAATGAAGGGATTATGTATTAAAAAGTGCTGTTACCTACTGAAATCCAAATCAAGATTCCTAATTGAATATATCTATAAGATGGTGTGCTTAATTATCGATGATAATTCCGATAATAAAGGAAGTTAAAAAAAAATAAAAAATTTCATTAACTTGTACCGTTTCAAGATGTTAAAGTTTTTGAAAAATGTCAATCTAAGCTGAGCTCTGGAAGATATTTGAAATGTATTTAAACATCTTCCGGTTGATACCCACAACCTTTAATCCACATGTATTTTATTGCGCAAGCGCCTGTGTAGTAACGGACAGCGGCGGTGGATGAACCATAGTAGTCATATTGGTCCATCCATAGCGTTATTTTTGCTTTTGTGTCATTGCATACATTTTTATTCCATTGATAGTGATTTTAATGAGACCGATTGTCCTTTAATGTTGTCAAAAATATGCAGTTCTTGACCTTAGGTCAGGGGTTCCCAGACTGTGTGTCGCGACGCCCTGGGGCGTCGCACCGCTACCCAAGAACGTCGTACCGCTTATCCTGGCGTCATGAGACAGACGATATGCACAGGTCGCTTATGTATTGAGTGTTGAGTGAATATCTTATCATCCCCCTCGCTCTTCTGTTTGTCCAATCTTTCATTCGTTTATCGAGTCGTTTATTGTTGTCATCTTTTGTTTTCGTCGATTAAAATCAATTATTGATGAATTTTATAAACTTAGAAGGGCGTCGCAAAAAAATTACATACTGTAAAAGAAGTTGTAGTATAAAAAAGATTGGGAA